GTCGGGTGGGGGTGGATTGATCGGAGGGGGCTGGTCAGGCGGAGGCAGACCGACAGGAGGGGGCTGGTCGGGGGGGGTGGATTGACCGGAGGGGGCTGGTCGGGTGGCGGCGGATTTTCTGGAGGAGGCAGGGCCGGGGGGGTTCACTCGGCGGCGGTTGGTTTAACGGAGGGGGATTGTCCGGAGGGGGTTGCTCGGGGGCGGGTTCGCCAGAGGGGGTGGTTGCAGCGGTGGAGGGGGGGATTTGGCGGAGGTTGGACCGGAGGGGGGGGGGCCTTTGGGGGGGGGGGGCAAAAGCGGGCACTGGTTGGCGACGAAGGTTGCGTAGTAAGGGAGAGCGTTGTTGACGCAACTTGATTTCGACACCTGGTTGCGAGAAGCAATTGCATGTGCTGCTCGCGCCCAACCCGCAGGGGCCGGTACTGCTCCCGCAGCCAGCTGTCATGCACAAATAAGTGGTGTTGTTGCATAAACATTCTTTGTACCGATTCTTTATACTCTTTTAGGTACCAACTCCAGTCATCTCTGCGAGCGCCGTCTCTATAGCTAAGTCTCGATGCGAAGTGGTTTCTGTGTTTTCTGGATCAACTACGCCAACGAGATCATATTCGTAGTTGATCAAGCGTTTCAATCTTTCGTCAAAGAGCACGTCTGTCAAGCGCACATTCGGCTTCAAAAACAAGAAATCCTTCTTGGTCAAACGAAAATGGAATTTCGTGATTCGGCTTTGCTAGAATTCTAGTGATGACCAGGCTTTGAAACAGAAACTCTAGCGACCCATGGCTAGCAAGTTTTCAACTAGACAAGTTACCGAAGGTACGCTATTTCAAAAGCGCTTCCTTCAACATAGATACAAGAAACCCGTGTCATCATGCTAGTGAGTTTCGATTGCGCGGCGTATCTTTTGAGCCTTGACGCGTGGAGCATACTCGAGTCTATATTGCAACCCAAAGCTTTTGAACGCTCTTTTGCAAGGAAAGTGAGGACTTGTGACAGGAACGGATTCGCTTTTAAGAACCAAAGCGTTTTCGCCAAAGACTTCCTTACACGAGCATCCAATCGCGGACCTGCGTTCAGAAACCCCCAGCACCTCAAGGAGGGGCGGTCACTCTCTCAGAGGCGGAATATAGGCGTGTCTGTTCCTTCAAAGCGAAGACCCTATTCCAAAACAGGTCTCGGCCATTTTCGGACCCCTATTCGTAAAACGAGGAACTTTTCATTTTGCTACTTATATTCTTCCGCACTTCGAATACGGCCCCTATCAGACAGATTGCATTTCTCTGCTGTGATATTGAAGGACATATATCAAGATCACAAGAAAAGAGAAGGTCAGATGGTGGTTAAGTTGCTACCTGGGCTCCAAGAAGCTGTCACGACAGAGGCCCAATGATAGTTACAAGTGTCTGCCACGAATCCCTTGGTTCTTTCTGACCCATTTTGCATAACCAGCCAGCATTTTCATAGCCCTTTGCCCAAAACCAACGTTTTGGCCTGGCCAACGAATGCATACCGTTTGATCGACGCGGCTCTCTTCCATATATCCCCTCCCCAAGTGGAGAGTGACCGCCCCTCCCACCTCAACAAGCTCTGGACGCACTCGCACGAATCGACTTGTGGGACAACGGATTCGCTTTTAATATCCACAGCGGTTCCTTGGCAGGTCTCGTTGAGTATCGATCCAAACGCAGACTCACTTTCAGAAACCCCCAGCACCCCATTATAAAAAGCCGAGGTTGAGGCGTGAACCAGGAGTCCGAGGTCCGTGGTTGTCGAGAAGGCACCGGCGTAACCCGTCAAGTTACGGGTCGAGGTAACCCCCCCCTGGGTCACCGAAACGGTGCGAGCCAACACACTTGAAGTAACTGTAGAATTGCTGAGTAGCTGCATCACGGGAATCATTTTTTGGGTTAGTATCAACGATCGATGACATCCCATTGTTGAGAGGTCATCGAGATCGAGATCAAGCGAGAAGGGCAACTGAAGGGTTCCAAGTCAGGAAGCAGTCTCTTCGGAGAGTTTGACAGCCTGGCAACTTCAGACTTCGTGTGGTCTAGCACCGCCCACGTAACTCATCAAGCAGCACATAGTAGCCAGAGAAAGGCCGCTCGCCGTTCATACTGTGCAAGTTTACAAGAGGCGAGGGTGCAAAGAGGTCGCCTCCAATCTTGACGGCGCACTTCTGTTCAGCCGTTGTCTCCGATGCTCGTGATTCGTTCTTGAGCGCGCTCTCTCCAAGTGGCAACCTGCTTGGGAAGAAGCGGCTGGCCAGAAGGCTAAAGTACGGGCGTGGCTGACTCATGCCGCGTGGCGCCTTCCGATGTTGTCGAGCTAAATACGAGGCCACTGACTGTTGGCTACGCGCCCAGGGGCGCCTAAATCAGCGTTGGATGCCTTCACAGCACATACCCACGTATACGCCATTATCCCTAAATGTAAGCTGTAGTGGTTTTGATTCAAAGATTCTGACTTAAGTAAGCTGGTGCATGCATATGGATCAACCGCCTCTGACTTTGTTATTGGCGGCGAGTACATCAAGTATAGCAAACATCAAGGCAGTATCTGTTTTACAATGCGGCAGGGACGAGAGCACTCCCGTTGGGCAGATCACGCGCTCATCACGTAATCATGAAGGTCACGGATGCTGCAAAAGTCTGTTGATTGAATCGTCAGACTAGTCTTGTTCGGGCAGCACCAGGATCTTTGCCGCACTCATACATACACTGTGAGCGCGATCCAGATTCAATTATCCGAACGTCAGTGACTCTTGCTTTTAATTTCGGGCCCCGGTTGAGCAAAGCGCCCGGTGTTCCACGCGTCTTCAAATGCTCAAGTGGAGGTGCTTCATTGTCTGAGTTTGGCACTCAAGTTTCGTGTACTTCGACAAATCAGGCAACTTCGAACTTCCAGCCGGCCGGCGTCCACCACTTTTTCGGCAGTTGCTCTAAGCCTCAAACGTCTTTTGAATTCTCCAAATCATTCGTGAGGTTCCCTGATGCGATGAAGCCTCCTGGCTGTGCTAAACTTGAAAGTAAGTAGCGGGCAAGGAAAGCAACCCTTAGCATTGGACCTGTACATCCATGGAGATCAGAGCAACAATTGCGAAGTCGTTCTGCTCATTGTGGATCGTTCTCGTTCGAAATTGGCAGGGACGACAAGAATCGGTGATGGGCAGCAAAATTCTGCTCAGACAACCTTGTCCATTCTAGTCTGACGCCGTGCCACTCTGCCTTCTTGCACACGCTTGTCGAAGCGAGCGACCTTTCTGCGGTTTTGAGACGCCTTTGCGGCTTTCAAGTGCCTTTATGAACCAGTAACACCGAAACTCAAGCTTACTGCTTTTGAGTTTGCAAATGTATCGATGGATCTGTGGTAAGCATAGAACGTTAAAAATGGTCGCGGGCTGAGACCATGACCGCCAGTTCGAGTGCCACTCAACAGCTTCAGAAAGCGCATCTTTCGTGAATTTCCGAGTGCCTTGGAAGATATCCGGACGTCCTGAGAGGGCACGAATACCGCACAGTTGCATCCTCTTTGGGTTTTGATGTGCTTTCCAACGTTTATCTGAGAAATTTTGCCTTTATGCAGGCAGCATACGTACGGGTCTTTTTCAGTCTCGTATTTGCTTCAGCGCGTTTCTCGTGGTCGCTTTTTTGGGGGGATAGAGCCAGATTCATCGTACTTATCCCCTAACACGAAAGCCAGTCCTGCACGTGAAGCTGACGAACCGGGCTCCTGTGCTGACCGGGCTCCTGTGCTGACGCTACAAGTGGACCCGCAGGTGAAGCTGAGACTCTCCATGGCAGTGAATCAATGGTTTCGTGTTGAACACATCTGGCCGGCGAGGATTAAGGGACAAAGTGGGCTTCAAAAGCGCAATGAAGTATTCCTTGTCTTTCATTGACGCCAGCGGCCGGGTCTATCACGGTTGATATTGACATATATATAGAGTGAACGTCGCTCAATCTAGAGAGGTCAGCTTTTATCGACCGGCGCAACCTCCGTCGGTTCTAGTCCTGTCATTACGTAGAAGCTTCTGTAAAGGTATTTCTCCGAAGACTGTTATCGAAGGCCCTTTCGGTAGCTTCAAATTAGCCTCGTCCTCTGCAGTAATCATTCACATCAACCTGGGTAGCCTTTGAGGACTTAGCTCGCAACGTTTTGCTAGCGGGTCGTAGACCATCTTCGCCCACCCTGCGTTTCGTCCGCATATGGCGTTTCATTTGAAGACTAGTACTACAAGGTTTCAAGCGAGGAACTATCTATCCTTTGCGGACTTGAGGAAGAAGCTTAACCAGGCGAGGATGTCTACGGCACCCCTGGGTCGGTACTGCCCAGATAAAGGTCCCTGATGCCGCTATCTCAAATGATCTTGCGATCTGGTTGGCCACTCGTCTTAAGCGCAGCTTGCTTCGCATCGGTTCGCTTCAATTGTGGCCTCTTTCATCATATCTGCTCCGACTAGCTTCTTCAAGGCGGCAGCGCAGCTTTCCTTACCAAAGCACACATACGGAGTCAATCTCATGAGACGGCTGATCTGAGCATTATGCTTAAGTCTCCGTTTTGTCGAGTGAAAAATGAGACGAGATTGTGGCTCCTCTGACATAATGGCGCGACATGCTGTACGACGCCACTTTCGATTGTTTGGCATGTGCCCAGATTCCGTTGCGGTCCGGGTTTTGGACAGAATTTATTTGCTTTAAGCATATCGTTGATGCCCGCTAATTCTTGCGAGGACCAGTGAACTACACTGCACGCAGGCGTCATGACTACCCAACTTATGGAGGATCTAATAGATTGATCCATGACGTGTTTCTTAAAAATATCCTTGTAACTGGAGGAGCTCTTGGACCCAGAGGAGTCAGCGGCTCGACTTCCTGATAGACCAGCTTCCCTTGTTTTCCGTATCTGCAAAACAGGGGCGCACGATTTAGCAGAGACAAAGAGGTGCTAGGTTCGCCAAAAGGAAAGCTCGTGGGTCAAATAAAGCTCTTACTGTTTCCAACCGATAACCTTCTGTGCGCCTGTGACGACCAGTACATTGTTAAGCTGTCCGCCCACTGTTTCTTGGATTCTAAAGTCATATGCTACGGCCACGGTACTTACAAACTGTGTATGCCCTTCCGGCAAGGAAAGAAACGGCTGGGTTTCCCCATTGATTGACGCGTGTCTGGCCAGCTATCCGATGCCACCTCGACTCATCGTACCGTTTCCAAAACATAACACGTGTATCCTAGTGGGAACGTATCAACTTGATTGGATCGATCTCTTCGCCGTGGTGCCTGACGTCGTCTTACAAGAGGGCGGCGCGATTTCGGGATCGAACCCGTTTTAGCTGCCAGCGGCGCGACGAGCGGTGCGTGTTTCATCATCGCTGAGCTATCATTTCGCTGAGCTTGTAATAGCTGAGCTATTTCTGTGGCCGAACTTCCTCGTGCTCGGGGCCCAATCAATGTCTACTGTTTGACATATCGCTTTTTGTTGACCGGCGTGGGGTCGTGTCCCTCAAGAGCTTAAGCTGCAAAAGTGGCCGACCGGGCTTGGCATCAGAGCGACAATTGAACAATCATCGATAACGTTGGCAAGGATGCGAGTCGCCGGCCATGATCTGCAGTAGATCAAGGATTGGTTGGTTGATTACTGAAGCCAACACATCGCCCTTCAGAACGGAGTCTGAGGGACTAGTCGAGGGGCGGCACCCAAGTTCTTTTGGTCGATCTATCCGAGGCTGGTCTTTATCTTCCTGATAACGCATGGCAATAGCTGCTGATAAACAGTATTTGCCAGTAGACGCGAGGGTGTCAACACCGATCCCGGAAGTGTCAGCCCTCACAAAGGACTCTTTCTATCTTTCGGCCGTCAGTTTTCTCAGGACCCCGCCACAGAAATGCCAAAGAAAGCTGCAGATCGCGATATCAGAGCAAGGCAAAGATGTCTACAAAAGCCTCCGGCTAATCCACGTACAGGAGATGTTTTTGCATGATTGATTTGATGCCGCTCGTATTTGATGGCAATGGAGAATTGATCGCTTTCTTCGGGCTTCTCTAAGACGTCCATCTTCCACCTACACCTCTATGGTGCCCAGTTCCATGAGCAGTTTACATCATACAAGTCTGGACCTGTAAAGGATCTCTCAGTAAGAGCCTCTACATCCTTATCGCTTCGATTTATGCCGCGAGAGTTTGTATGATCTTTATCATTGATTGCAGCTTTCGGCGCCGGTCGAATTGGCGCAACTTGTGCCTTGTCCTCCTTAAGTCGCACCAATATCTTTGCACTCCTTACAAGAATCTTCGCAACTTGTAACGGTGTGCTTCGATACCCGATATGAGTGTTCCTGATTTCAAGTATTCGCTCTTTTCCGCCACCTTCCAGCAACCAAGCACCTCGAAGTTTTTGGGGATACACGAAAAGAATAGATCTGTCTGCGCAAATGCTTGCGCTGGCTGGCAAAGATGACCGCCGCAACCTGACTGCCGCCGCTCCAGAAGCCTTTCAAGAGTTCCATCGAAGCTTCATTAAATCGGCAAGTTAGTCGTCCACTGACCTCTGGGCTTGCGGATTCGCAGATGCGTGTTCGTTTGTCGTGACGGCACAGAATCTGTGCAGACTGTCTCCCTTTACCAGCTTAGCTGTCGATCATACACCTCGAGAACCTTTGGAAGACCTTCCGGCCCTCAAGAAGTGTCAGCTAATAAGCGGGCGAGCTTTTGTTCAGCACTGAGCAGCAAACAATGAATGCGAAAGGGCTCCAGCGTTTCGGCCCTATCTACTTTTCAGTGGGCAGAAGTTGGTCAAGAACAAATATTCATGCACGCTTTGTTGAAAAGGCAGCTAGCCTCCTCGTCACGCAGTTATGTAACCTTCCCGCCCTCTCTCAGGCGGTTTCCTACTCCCCTGTGGTTCTCGTTTTTACTTAACCACACAGAATAGCAGAAGAAGCTTACGCGCGCCGGCGCGCGCCCGCGAAGCTTGCGCAGGAGTCAACACTCGAGCCTCATTTGGGAGAAGGTTAGTCGGCAAGGGATCTTCATCAGGCTTGATTTGCTCCGCCATCTTTCGTTTGAACACTCGACATTCGCGAATAGCTTATAATGACAGGCCCACGAGTCGCATGAACATGTACACTCAAGCCGTCATGCTGACATAATAACATGGAGGCGACGATCAGAAGAGACTGTGATATCCTCTTTGGAGCTTGAAGAAGTCATATCTGCGGCCTACTTCAAGTTGTCTTTACAAGTACTCTGTCTCACACAAGCGGAATGAGTTCGGTTACTCTAGGAGTGTTCCTCAGACATTGAACCTGCCTACTAGTTCCGTCTAAGATCAGGGTTGATCAACTCAACCCGAGCTACGCCCCTCTCATTACACCTATCTGCGGTCTACCTAACAGAGCTACATGGTGAGGTTCAAATCCGAGTCAGTCAGCTCCAAACATGCAGCCGGAGTCTTCGCTCAAACAACCCTGTTTCAAACTCTCCTACGAAAAAAGGTACTGCATCTTCCCACCACGACGGCGGCCGCCAAAAATTTTGCAGTCAAAATGATGGCTGTTCTCTGCTTTAACACTTCTGCCCACTCCACAGCCTCACACTTTCCACACCGTTTCTCTAAGCGTCACGGACACACTTCCAAATCTCTAGTGGTTCTTGACCATGGACCTCATAATCTGGTCGTTCTTGGAGAGGCCTCCGTTGCCGGTGCCGGAGGGATCCCCCACGGTGTAAGTCGTTCCGCCCAGGGTGATGGTTCCGGTGAAGGACGCCGACTCGTAGCCGCTCTTGCTCTTGGAGTGAGACGAGAATACCGTGCCGCACGGGGTCGCGTAGGAGTAGTCGTACGAGCACTTGCTGCAAGAAAAGAACGTCTGCGTTTAGCCCATCAGTATGATCTATCTTCTAAAGCATACACTTGCAATCATTTGATCTTGTTCTGGAAAGGAACTGTCGGACGGCTTTGAGAGCTTTCGATTGTTAACGACTCTTTGACGGCCAGATCAGCTGAGCGGGCCGCCTACGTCACTTGTCCACTCCACGTAGACGGCACTCAACGAATGTTCTGCAACGTCTTCGAATCTGTGTCATTTCTACGATGCCAAATTGAGTGTGTAAGTCGGTGCAGGTCCTACTACAGTGCTTTTACAATCCGTAATTGTTTTCTTTCCTGATCAGACCTCTTAGAACCTGGAACTCTGCGATCAGTACTGGTCACGGATAAGCGACGACGCAACCTGATGCCTCAACCTCGGCGTAACACTTTGCGCTAAATTGACCGTGCTAAAAGATTCTTCGAAGAACAACGAAGCTGGGCGTATCATACTGTGTGTCATGAGAATCGATCAAAGCAAACGGGAGGCAATACAAGAGAATGCACAATTCACCTGGAGGAGGCGGTCTGTCCGTTTGCGTTTCCGCTGATGGAAACGGAAGCGGTGGAGGACGGAACGGAAGACCCCCCGTAACCATAAGAGTACTCCAAGTCCAGCGACGCAGTCACGGAGGCGGACTTCAGGTTCTTGCTGACGTTGACGCCCGTGGCGTCGGACGTGGAGTACCTGGCGAACGTGACAGGGCCCACTTGAGAATCTCTTACCATTCTTAGTCAGCAGATGAGAAAGAACACATTGTCGATACACACAAACGACTTAGAGATATATGGGTATCGGTACGCTTATGGAGATGGTGCGATTCTTTCTGTGATTCTTCGGACTTACAAGATTGAATGTTGAAGCTCGGACCACCCGGGACTTGAATTGACTGTCGGAAAGCTGTGGACACTTGACACGCTTACGGTCTACATCTGAAATGGAAGCGATTCCCGAACTCCTCTTCAGGGGAGGTATAGAAGAATCACCCCCGGGCCCATTTTATTCCGAATCGTCTGAAAAACGAAGTGGCAAGTCGAAACTCATCTCAAAACCCAGAACTCTGCCTTTTCAGTGGAACTTCCGTAATCTGAAGGCTTGGGTTCCTCGAAATCAATACGCTTGGCCGCAGAAAGTCTTGAGTGAGCGCGCTTCGAAAGAATCGAAACCTGCTTCTGTTCTGCGGTGCAAGAGAGAAAAGAATACCAGGGACAGGACCGACAAAAACGCTTTCGCGTTTGTCTTACCCCGCGTAGAATCCGGAAGACCCCCCGCTGGAGCAGTAGTCGAAGCAGCTGACGGACAGGTCGACGTCCGTCGTCTTGGTGGGCTTTCCCGGTTGGTCCTTGGTCATGCCGTCGCTCGCGTACACGTTAAGATAGCACGAGCCGCACGTGCCGTACGGCGCGGACGTGTACACGAACGCGGTCTCCGCGGACGACTTGTAGGAGCTGGCGTCAGAGGACGAGGGGCACGTGGGGGGGTACTGCGCGGCCGCGGGCGCGGCCGCGAGGGCGAAGAGCAGCAGCGGGGCGAAAACGAGAAGGGCTGCCTGCGGAACGGAACGTGCAAAGGGCCCATCAACAGTCGTTTCAGTGGAAGAGGTTTTCTTGTGTACTTCTGGGCTGTTCGATCTTCCTTTCGGGGTGTCGAGGTTTGCTCTCCGGCCGTCTAGATGGTTAACATTTCAGGTAGTTCAAGAGCAGAGCGACTCCTTACTTTCCTTGTTGACATCCTTGATCAACGAACCTCACTCTCAATCTTTAGTAGATCCGCGTCCTCCGACGACAACGCACGTTAGTTTTAGGGCGAGGAAAAGCCCCTTGAAAGAAAGAAAACGTCTTAAAAGCATAAAGCACGACGGATCGCAATTGCAACTTTGCTGCCGGAACCATCACTTCGAGTGACTGAAGGGGAAAAGACGTCACGATGACGGCTCACCTTGGAGTCAAGTGGGCGCCTTCCCTTGGAACTAATGGTCTTGCCTGCAGTAGGAAAATGTCATATCTATCAAAGCTGAATCGAACAAGCCTTCAACATGCTTTTGGATCAGAGGACCCACTACTTGGAACTCCTGATGGGCCGAGTGCATGCATTTGAGGAGGACGTCTCACTATGATCAGAGGCGATAACGGACGGGAGTTATTCTTCGGATTACTATGTCTGGCTATCCTCCAAGGGCCCATCACAATACTACACGTGTGGCTGCAGAACCGATCAAACGACTCAACGTCCCCATCCCAGGAGTCTTTACTGCTTACCAGCACAGACAGTATGCATTCTGTGGCCTACAAAGCAGACGGTGCACAAATTGTGACCTCTTACCACCCCAGCATACCTTTAGCAGCAAGGAAAGTTCTCAACTCTGTCGAGCTCAGAACGTTCCGGTTTACTCGCTCTGAGCCTGAGTCCAGCTACTAGGCATTGAGGCCAGAAGACACCAGCTTATTGTCAGACAAACACAGACATGCTTCTCGTCAAATTTCCACACATGTTAATGTTTTGGAACGTGGATACGAATCACTGCAAGAAGGCTCACCGAGCGTCTGCCGGCCCTCTGAAGAGAGCGCAACTCCAGCAGCAAGGGACGCCATTTGGGCTGAAGATGGATTCGCCTTCAACAGAAAAGAGAGCGGCAGTAGCGAAGAAGGTCGCTGGAAGCTGTTTAGGTCAAAGGCAGCTGGCAAGGCTTAGTGATGCAGCGAGCAATTGGGGAGAAGCGGCTGCTGTTGCGAAGGTTTGAAATGTTGGACTGCTTGGAAAAAGGCTCTGAAAAAGATATGGAACTTGCCTCGCTTTTATACCCGTTTCTGATTGACTGAGGCGGATCTTGGGGCTTGTTATGACCAGGACTGTAGGAATGTAGAGACGCAGTTCCAGTGACCCACTAAAGAGCAGTCACCTTCGACCCAATGCGACCGGTCTAATGTTGAACGGGACTCACGCTTTGAAGCAGGCCACTGGGCGTGTGCATGAGCGCTGTACTGCAAAAGATGGGTGTCAAGCATCTGGGTTGTCTGACCGGTCGTTTGATCAGTTCAGGCAGGTGATCACGGCTGCCCTGCTTCAGTACTAGCTGGCTACTCATGGTGTTTGTGGAGTGACGGTAGGTAGTAGGTACCGGCTTATGGGGATCACCTTACATTATTACAATTGGAAGCGCCCGCGGCCACATCGGACCTGCATATACGTTTTATGATCACTCGATAATGATTGGCGGCTGTAATTAGTCTAGCAATATAATGGAGCCGCTCGCTAAAAAGGTCCGCATACCATGATCGTGTGCCGTTGACCGGCACTGACTGCTGCCCATCGCTAGCTGTGTCTATATACATATCAGTAAATGCTTGATGTTTCTCAAGACTATCAGGCTCTGCCAATCACAGTGATTGCTTGCCAAAGTTTCAACATTAAAGTCAGGCTTCACTTGAACGCGCCAGCGCGCCGTCCGGCCAGCAACACTCGCGTAAGATGTTCTGCATGCTGAGCAGGCGCTTAGAAGTTTGGGGAGCAGTACTGGTCGAGACCAGCGGTCGCAGACCTGTCGACCAGTACAATGCAACGCTGCTTGTCATCTGAAAGCGAGGGTTTTTCTGGGTTTTTCTGGGATTAGGTATAGCAGGCGCGTCATAAGTTCATAACTTGCATGGCGCGCGGCGGGCGAGTGATCGGACTGACGCTAAGTTTGACGGTGCGCCAACCGTCGACACTTCTGCACCCCGTTTCGACACTCCGTCAAGTCCCCGTCATCTGCCGTCATCGTGGGAAAACACTTATTGTTTCAATGATGGGGAAGCACTTTCGATCCCCGGGGGGTTGGAAAGCTGAAAGAAAGTGCTCGGGGAACACTAGCTGACCAGGCACTTACGTCAGTCCATTGAGCGGTCGTGCAGGTCCAGGCTTCAGGTATTTTGGCAGAGCCTAGAGGCAAAGCGCTATGACGTAGCATGCCTGTGCTTGAACTAGAAGCCGTTATGAAAGGAGCCTCTAGCCATGCCTCGCAGCGCCGGTCCGCTTAATGGAGTGACTGATCCGGACTTGGAAGCTGGCCGGCACTTGTTGGTGTAATATAGTATAAGATTTTAAAAGGGCAGTCTTTTAGGTACATGCAAAATCAGCAGGAGCTTACGCCGGTCCCACGCCGGTAACATAGACCAGATAAACGTACCTTCCCTAGTACTCACTATAGCTAGCTGGCATGCATGCTAGGAGCTCAGCTTTAGCAGGCCCATTAACTTAAGGGTTGAGAACAAGAGAGCCTGGTGGAGTGCTCAAGATTTTGATGCGGACAATTAATCAGAACTTCAAATCACACTTCCAGTACAGCCTGTTCTCGATCAATTCACTAGCACTGCTATCTTCTCATGACGTCCCGGATTCATTGATTCATCGCCTTCATTGCAAATTTGAGCTAAAACAATGCATGTGCTGCCATACGTTCCGCGCGCCATCAAGGTGCACCATGCGGGACTGATGCATGGTACTGATACAGGATTTTCGAATGTCGGCCGGATGAGTATGCCTAAGTCTAGTTCACTACATCCTCAGGCAAAAGCTAGATGAAACTCAAGAAAAATAATAGTAAGGCGCCCAGATAATCATCATCATTATTATGATAGTAAGGCATTAACCGCACTGTGGATCGACGGGTAGGGTTAGTATGGTGGTTAGCGTGGGTACGGGTGCGAAGCGGGTGTTTCATTTAAGGTTAGGGTTTTTAGTGTTAGTCGGAGCTGACTATCATCTTGGCTTACTAATATTCTTCTTGAGAGTTATAGAAGCTAGCTTCAGGGCCTCTGTTCAGTCATGAATAGAAGCTAGCGCGGCTCACCCATGCAGATTGAATCCGAGGACCCGGCCGGTAGTAGGATAGCATTGATTATAGTGATGACAATCAGTGCAAATTCAATATCTTTACGCGCACGGTGGCATGCAAGCGGGGCCCGGCCGTTATTATGGTGAACATGCACCTGAATGTCTATATGCTTGTCAGGTTGACGAGCTTCGTATAGACCATGACATCGTTTGCGCTGCATGAATTTCAAATCCGATCTTGCACGTTGCTTGCTGTGCACTCAGACGGTTGAATCTGGCGCTAGCTAGGATTGGGTAAGGTACTATTGTATTAGCTAGCACATGAGTACCAATGATCAAGCTAGCTGCATCATGCATTTGAATACGGCTTCAATCAACCTTACCGCGCGATCTCCTAACGTCTGAAAGCCGAGTTGTGCCATGCATGGCGGCAGCTGTGCAGCTATTCTTGCACACGGGCCCGCCATGTGCAGCGTTGCTCATGATGCATAAAGCTAGTTCAATTGCATCCGGTGACATATGGGGTTCGGGCGGGGTGTTTATTAAACTTACAAAACTGTGATCACCATGAAGTGCCCGTGCATCAGTGACCGTTGTGATCCAAGATCTCGTGATCGGTTGGACGGTCGCGAGCTAGATCGATTGTGTGCATCGGTGCATGTCAGTGCTTCATGGTATATGCTTTGGACATCTTTATACGGTGGAAACGTTTGGCTCGGCCTAGTGACACGGCCGCCCGCTCAGCCCCACTGAATTTTGGCATGTTGTTCGTTGATTTAAGAGGAACGAGCCGTCGTACGTCAAGGTCAGGCTTTAACAACTTTAACAACTTTAACAACTTTAAATGCAATCCAATCCGCGCTTTACTTAATTGTGAAGATGCATAGAAGCACATGTAATTTCGATATAAGCGAGGAGCCATCCGATCTTCCTCACATGCAAGCCACTGAACAGTAATCATATAACACATTTACCACATGGAAGTCAAGGCTGTTCAGACAACCTCAATCAATGATTTGCAGTCTCAAATCATCGCACAATATTCCAGATCATGTCTACACCGACCAGTCGCATGCCCAATCTCGGCACCCTAGCTATCCACCTCCCCAATCGCCTCCTCGCTCAGGATTGTTCGCACAACATCTCCCAAAAAGATTGCTGAAGCACTCGACCACCACTACCGGCAACACGTCCTTTGACGAGTAATCACACCGTACAATACAGTCCTACTACAGAGTAAGCAAACCTGCTATACCAAGCCCATGGCCACCACACACCTACAGCCCGTTCGTATACAGTAAGCCAAACACCCAAAGCCTTCCTTATTTCGACTGCTCGAATTTTCAATCTTCAACTTTCAATCATCTATTCGAACCGGTCTGTACATCCATCTTCATTTCAATCAGGCTGGTCGCTCGACAGCGACTAGCGGGCGGCGTCAGAGTATGACGTGCCCTCGAGCCAAGCCCAGACTTTCGCAGCCCACCGGGTCCCTTCCGCAGCTGCACAGATGTGCTGGGGATCAGTGCCAGGGTAGAAAGTATGCAACAAGAAGTCCGCACAGGAGTGGTACCCGCAAATTTGAACGAGAGCCAGGTAAAAGGCGGGAGGAAGATCCTTCAGGAGCTGCAGATGCCTAGGATCTCCAAAGTGTACTCGTTAAGGATCAAAATGCTTGAACATCCTCAAACAGAAGGCCTTGTCAACAACCGTTTCCTCCTCTAGTTTCTGTCGACGATGGTCAGCCCAATAACTCGTTCGGGCCTCAGGATCGAGCAGCGGAACAAGCCAAGGACGAGGGTTGGTTGCTGCTAACGGGGTCGAGCCTTGCCTAGCGTAGATTACCGAAGTCCAGTTTAACGAAAAGCTTTCGCCAAAGCAACGGCCACAAATGAAGGACCAGCGTACATACCCCAGGCCTCGCCCTAGAGACCAAACCACTATCCCGAATTGAACGCAATCTATATGCCAAGTGCAATCCCCTGATGTTCCGGAACTCACTGCATCGCTCCTGTAATGGCCCCCCCGATTTCACTCGCCAAAAAGTTCCAAAGGGTTTGCCCCTCCACTTGCGCACATAAATTGGCAAAGCTCGTGTCCCGTAAGGCTCTCTGCAGTCGGTCAGGGCGCTCACCTCTAAGCGCCGCAGCCTCCACCTTGCGCAGTTTCGCCGCCTTAGCATCCGCGCCGGTCTTCCCGTGCGTTCCAGCGCCTCCCACTCCGTTCTGCTGCCGGCTTACCGCGCCACCTTCGTTGACACCATTCCCCGACTCCTTCCCCTTGCCTACCGTCACACCCCCGTTCACGCCCTGACTGCTCGCCACTGCCGCTCCTGACTTGATCGCCACTGCTCCGCTCTCTTTTTTCGCCTTGGCTTCCTCCTGTAGCTTCTGAAGCGCCAGCATGCAGCACAGCGCCAGCTCATCACCGACTTCACCCCCAAGAGCGTGCCCGCACCAGGTGCACGCCGCCACCACCGCAATTGCCGCCTTGCCTTTTCCCTCCTCTAGTTCTTTCCCGTTCGCTTCCCTGCTCGGAACCCCGTTTACCTGAATCCTGTCCACTTGCGCGATCGCGACCATGTCTGCCGGTCCGCTCGCAGCTTCCTCGATCTCGCACTTGCTTGGTGGGGGGGAAACTGAAACCTCTTTCTTCGGGTTAGCGAAACCCAGTTGGTTGACCCGGGGGGAAGCTGGGGCTGAGGCCGCGGGGGTGGCAAAGCTTTCGGTGGCGCTGTCGAACCCGTCCAGGTCTTGTTCCGAGTTAGCCCAACCCAGGCGGTTAACTGGGGGCGCTGCATTCGTTTGGATCGGGCAGTCTTTGGTCGCAGAATCAGACCCATCAGTCGAACCCGTTTTTGCCAGGTTGGAACCGTTGGGCAAATGAGAGGCTGGGGCGGGGGAGCCTTGTGGGGTGCGGTGCTTTTCGGAGGCTGATTGGAAGCCTTCCGGGCTCTCTTCCCCATGGTGGCTCCCAATCTGCGAGGTTGTGCTGCCTTGCAGATCAGATGGCGGGGGCTGTGCTGCGCTCGTAAGCGTCGGGAAGTTGGAGGCCTCGTTGGAACCCAGGTCGAAACTTGAGTGACCGTTAGTAGACTGAGAACTGGGTGCCTTGAGGTTCTGCAGGGGCTTGCCGGCGATGACGTTGGCGGTGGTGTTGCTTCCAGACTCTGTTACAGGAACATCCGTTGGAGAACGGGACGAACACTTTCAACGTTCAACAAAAGAGTTCAGAACCAAAGCTGCTGAAGATGACCCAACGAAAGACATCTCAAAGTACTTTTAACATTGACATTGTATGAGGGTTGAGCACAAAAGCTGCTGAAGACGACCCAACAACAGGTGTCCCAAAGTGCATTGAAGCACGGCTGAAAATAAATGGGTGATGACCAGGGAAATGGGCAAGCGGTTTAGAAACCTGGGGTCCAAAGTGTTTGGGCAGGAAGAATGTAAATCACTTGATCTGTCCGGCCTGTGTTGGTCATCGATCAAGAATGTGGACATGGCGCTGGACTAAGGGACCTGCTAAAGTGCAGGCTTCCCTGGTCCCTTTACCTTGATATTCTTTGCTGCATCCATCACACTTTCAATCAGATGGACTTGGCGGCAGAGGAAGAACTGGGAACTAATGGCGTCATCCCACCCAGCTAAAGGAAAGACTTTGTTCCAGCAGACCTGAGGGAGCAACTTACCACTCTGTCTGCTTTCTCCCACAGGCTGTTTGCCCTCCCTAGGCTTTTCCTGGCGCTCTCTCTCCTGGACAGCTGTACCACGCCCACCCTTTCCTTCTTCGGGCACAGACCTTTGAACGCCCTCTTTCGCATTCACAGGTTCCCCCGCTGCGCATTTGTCTCCTGACCCTTCTTTCTCGGATTGCAGGGTGTGCCTTCCGGCCCCCACTTTGCCCGACCGTGCAGGGAGCGGCAGCAGCCCCCCTTCAAATGAGCCCCCCGGTCTGTCCGCAAAGATGGGGCCTCTCTTCCATGCATTCCCGCTCGCACCCCCCCTCATTGGACCAGCAAAAGGCAGCCCCCCGTTGACGCTCTCGGGGCTGTTCGGGAAGGCGTTGAGCACAGAGGTGGGGGTCCTCTCAGGAGACTCCCCGCGATCCTTGCCAGCCTCGGTGTCCACATACCGCTCCTTCTTGGGGGTACTGTAAGTCTCCGCTGGCACATCCTGGGGGGGAACTTTAGCATGAGCGGCATTCCCCGCAACAAGAGCTGCGTTCTTCTTTCCCTGGACTGGCCCCTCTACCCCCCCGCTCGCTTGATCATCCTTCCCCTCCTCTAGATCTGCTGCGGCCTTGGTCTTTCGGACCTTGGGTGCAGTCTTCTTGCCAGAGCTCAGGAAGCCCCGCTTCATTCCCCAGAGAGACGACGAGGCGCGCTTCTTGTCCGGCACCTCTGCAGACGCTGGGACCTTTGCTGACTCCCCCTTCTTGTCCTTCTCTGTCCTGTCAACTGTTGCCCCCTCTGGCTTCATGTCTCCCTCTGAAGCAGCTTCTTGCCGCTCTGCACTCACTTTGTACGCATTGTCGCATGCACTGTCGTCTGCAGGCGCTTCAGAGTCGAGTTTGTCCAAACCCTGGTTAGCGATGACCCCACCCCTTGCCACCTCCTGCATTTTACCGCTCTTCCCAGCAACCCCCGGCACAATCCCAGCTCTCTGAGAAGGACCATTAATTGGAACACCAGCATCTCCAGTTGCGTCCACATTCTTCCCCCCAGCCTTTGGAGACCCTGCTCTGGAGACCTTACTTCCTCTGATGATTTTGTTTTCCTTGGGAGCCTTCGTTGGTGAACCCTGTCCATCGGAATTGACAGCCTGTCCCCCTTCACCGCCATCTGGCTTGGCAAGGCTTATCCCCCCTTCACCAGAGCTCACATTGTCTTCCCCCCCTTCTTGCAAGGTACTGTCATCTGATACCCCCTTTTGAGGACTTGCATTGTCCTTCCCCTCTTCTCTGCCTACCACATTCACCTTCTGAGAGCTCTCACTGTCCCATGCCCCTTTGACTGCAGACAAATAAGCACCTTGGCCGGTCGTCCAGACTTGCGACTCTCCCAGATTGCCAGGTTTCTCCATCTGATGCACTAAATTAACTTCGGTTGATGTTTTGTCTTTTGGAATGCCTTGCCCCCGGCCCCTCCTCCATCTTCTCAAAGCGCCGACGGCAGCCGCCGCCGCACCCAAGAAGCTCAGCACCACGACAGGATTTTGCGGGACCCCCATCTTAGCGTATGTTGAGCAGCAACTCTCTCAAATTGGACAGGCCAGTATTTCCAGTGCCCTAGCGTCTGAGTCTAGACTCTACATTGCGCTTTCGTGGCCGCCACCACGGCCAGCACGCAACTCATCAGCCTCCATGAACCATCCCCTCCAGACTACACTATACATAGGT